AWWAARAAATTRAGAGGAATGTTGTGCTTTCCTCCAGCAGTCCCGTCCTTTCTTTATTGCAATATATTCACAAGGCTGCAAAGGCGACGGGGAAAGCCTGGGGACCCTGTGGATGTCACCAGTGAAGGTGACGCCTGCAAGAGCACTGCTTGTTTMGGGCGTCTCTGCCTCTCTGTGGTACCCCTGGCCAAGGCAGGTCGATGTGTCTGCCCTTGTCACCCCCCTGCCCCCAAATCCTCCGCTCTGGCAGCCCCGGCCTCAGCTGGCTGCAGTCCCGGAGCAGCTGAGCCCGTAACAATTGCAGTGTTGTGCCCCAGGGTAAAGGGGGAGGTAAAAAATTGCTGATTTTAAATTGGAAGTTGAAACGCCCTTGCGCTTTACATCGTCTCTCTGTCTCTGGCTGGTTCTGAAATCTTTTCCTAAGTAAAAAACAAAAAAACAGTAAAAAATACAAGAATATTGCAGTCKTATTCTTGTAGGTAGCAAGAGGCTACAAATGGTCACCAGGGCTTAGATCCCTGCAGCCCATGCGCAGCTTTTGAGGGAACAGGGTCAATGCTAAGGTCCTCCAACCAAGGAGGTGATTTGTCCCCATCCATTTGTCCCCATCCTCATCCATTTGTTCCCACACGCATTTCCAGGGCCCGCAGTGTCCCATGGCAGGAGGTTTCTCGTCGCCGCCAACTTCCAAATAAAGAAACTCCGATTGATTTCTTTGAATTTATCCCCTGCGAACTATAGCTGCGCGCGCCAGAACAGTGCCATCAATCAGCTTATTGGCAGGGTGGTTTTCTTCTAATTTGTGATAGAAARTTGCAGTGTGAGGAGTTGCCTTGGGAAGCGGCCGCCTCTCCCGCGGAGGGGAGCGGCCGGCTAATTAAGTGGGAAGCCCATTAAAGTGCAGCGCTGGGAATGGACRGATGAGCTGGGATATTCCGGCACCTCTGTGTTTGATCAGACAGTTTTAAAGTCACTATAACCCTAATGGGGCTGTTAAAATGGGGAAGAGGTGATTGTAAACGGACCGAGGAGAATAATTCCCCCCAGGATATAAGGTATGGGAGATAAGACCATATATAGTTTTCAGCATTATGACAGCCACAGGGCAGGACTCTGCAGCTCAGATGCAAACATGCTAATGTTGTTCCTGGAGTCTTCTGAAGTAAATCTGTGATTTCTGAAACAATGTGAGTGCACTCGGTCTGAAAGGATCCCAGTAACAGAACAAGGGGTAGCCGGTCCCTTTGCTTCCATTTATTCTCCCTGGTGGTGCAGCTGGTTCCATGCCGCCCCTCGGCCTAAAGAGTTTCCCTGTCTGAAGGGATGGAAAAGGCTCCCTGGCTCCACGCGCTGCATTCCATGCAGCACCGTTCCAACCAGGTGGTTCCCAGTGGATTTCATCTCCCCACGAAGTCAGGGTGTCACCAGCCTCTGCAGCAGGGTCTCAAAGTTAAGAGGCACCCTTGACAGCTGAAGGGAACAAGAAAAACCATGGGAGCTCATGCCTGGGGCACAGCATCTGAATGGGACTGCAGCAAGAATCCCCAGAGGATTCTCTGTCTTGGTCTCCTCCTGATGGCCGCTTGATGGGGAGGGATGGGGCTGCCTGCACCTCCCTTGCTCCTTSTCTTGTCCCCTTTGTGTTACAGCTGGGTTGGGAAACGGCTGATCTTGTGGGAGGCTTCGAGAAGCAGGAGCCCGGACAGGGATGCGGGAAACCCTGATGAACGGGGCCGGGAGCAGGTTGGACCCTGCACGGCTGCATCCCGACSTGCTCCGTGCGCTTCCCAGCAGCTCCTAGAGCGCCTTGCACAAACCAAGCTCACCCCAGGCTGCTCTTGGCAGAGCTGAGCTGCTGCTCTAATTCAGATGTCAGGTTGCCTGACCCCACCACGCAGGGAGGCTTCTCTATTCACTTACCAAGGGGTGTTTCAWCTGCATTCATTAGAAAATAAACTGGTCTTTGTTCCTATTCCCTCCACCATCCCAAATCCATCTTCCCGCGAGTACAAAAACGCCGCCAAACTGCTTTAATCCACAACTTTTTGGGTGAAGTAAATTGGCTTCGTCTCGGGACACATTCCTTTCACATATAACTAAATTCACGGTATCTGACTGCATTAATTGCTGCACTGGCTATGCTCAGTGCAAGGTCAGATAATCAATATGTTTCACYGTGTAAAAACAGGGATTTATGAAGATTTCGGAGTCTGCCTCACATTCTTAGCGCTCAGAGTTTGCTTGCTGCTTTGCCCTTTTTCTCCTTAAGGCTGATTTCAAAAACAATGAAGTTAATAGGAGGTTTGAAAGGTTCCTAGCACTTGAGGAGGAATCCCACTTCCTTGGAGTAGAATCCAGCAGAGCTTTCCTAGCGATGTGATCCCGGAGCCGCTCTTCCCGCCTGGCCCTGCGCTTGGAAAGGAGGGGGTTGCACTTCCCTGGCACTCTGTTTTCATGCAGGGACCGTCTGCTCCAAGGTTTTCCCCACCAGTTGCCACTTSGGCAGAGTGACCTTGATGTGAACAGCAGGATTTGGGGACGGGAGCTTTGGTGGTCGCCTGGAAGAAGCTCTGTAAGGAGGAAAAGACCAGCTCCCCTCCACCCTTCTGCCCTTCTCCAGGTGGGCTTTACACACCAACCTGGGTATATACATTAAAATACGCACAAATACACATTTTAATGCAATTCTTGTATTATCCCCCCTTGGGAATGTATCTTCAGAGCTGACAACGTTTATGGGAAGAAACAGGGCAGTTCCGGCTCATTCTGGGRCAGACGGTTTTGGGGTGAGGAGGACAACAGCTGCCCGGGGAGGAAGATGAGGGGAGCAGGTGCTGCCTGGGGGAAGGTCCCCACGCCCCTTCCCCGCAGGGTTTTGGGTCCCGGGCTTGTCCGCACCCCCCGGTTGTCGCACCCGGGGTCCCCCGCGGCCAGCAGCAGCTCCAGCCCCGCCTGGGGTCTGGAAGCGCCGCAGGAACCAGCGCGCGGGGACCGCGGCGCGTTGCCCTTTTAAGCGGCGGCCCCCCCGCCTCCTCCCCGCACCCCCCCCCTTATCCCCCCCGCCACCGGGGGGGCTCCGGCTGCCGCCGCCTCCCGCCTTCCCCGCCCGCCTCCCTCCTCCGCTCCCCGCCGGCGGCAGCGGCGGCGCTCGCGGACCATGGGATGCTGCACGGGCCGCTGCACCCTGATCTCGCTGTGCGCTTTGCAGCTGGTAAGAGGCGGCCGCGACTTCGCGGGGCGCCCGGGGACGGGGCGGCAGGGCGGCCGGGGACAAAAGCGGCGGCGCCGGCGGCTCCTGCTGCCGCTCCGGCCCCGCCGAGGCGGCCGCGGATCTTCCCCAAACTCGCGGGCACCGAGGCAAACAGTCACAAAGCCCGTAACTTGCAAAGCGTGCGCTTTGTCTGGACTAAAACTTGACCCGACGGCTGCGGGAAGGGGCCCGGCGGGCTCCGGGTCGGGCTCCAAGGCGAAGTTCCTGCTGCTGAGAAACGCCGGCACCGTCCGGGCTTGGCTGCGAGAAACGGCTCGCTCGCGGCGCCCGCATCGCGCCCCGCTCCTCTGCAGACCTGGGAGGGTTTCTTTAAAGTATTTGCATTGTAATGAAGCGGTTTTTATTTTATTTTATTTTATTTTATTTTATTTTATTTTATTTTATTTTATTTTATTTTATTTTATTTTATTTTATTTTATTTTATTTTATTTTATTTTATTTTATTTTATTTTATTTTATTTTATTTTATTTTATTTTATTTTATTTTATTTTATTTTATTTTACTTTATTTTACTTTATTTTATTATTTTTTTTTAATGTGTGTATATGTGTGATCTATATGTTTTAACTTAGTGGTGTTGCGGGAGTGTCACCCACTGCGGACCCGGCTTCCCAGTCCCCAGGACCCCTGCGACATCCCAGTGCAGGGTGACAAAGCTCGAGAGGGCTTAGGGTTGTTTCGGGGGCTCCGCATCCAGCTGGGACCAGGGGGCTCCGGTTTTGGTCAACAGCTCACGGGCTTTAGGGTCCTGCAGCCTTAAAGAGGACCTGGCAGCGTCTCGAGACTTAATTTCGTGCGGTTTGTGGAGGTGGGCGGTGTGCTGGGCTGGTGTCSGTGTGCAGGACAGGACCCGCTGCCTTCCAAGTGGACAGCGAGCGAGTGCCGAGGGCTGATCTGGTTAAAACTCCACGTTTGGGAGCTCTTCACTGCCCCACACGTTTATTTTGGTGAAGAGGATCTGAGGAGCAAACTCCCTGGAGGTGAATGGGAACCTCTCACTAGGAGAAACTGCAAAATCGCAACCAGTTAGTTTTAAAATGCAGCCTAAACCTGAAGGGGAGCGGGCTGGGAACGCAATCCCGTTAACTGTGACCAGCGTGGGCAGGAGCTGCCGGTGGAAGATTTGACTTTAGTTAAACAAAATAGGGCAGAGAAGTTTGGCTTGTTCTGTTTTGTCTTTTTTTCTTTGCACAAAGCGTACCGGGAGGCGTATTTATGAGCGAGCTGAATGGCTGGGGAGTATATTTAGTCTGCTGGATTATTTCTTTGATTTTTCACCCGTGATCACAGAAGAAAGAAGCCATACCCGGCAATACTTTTGGAATTGCTATCTGAACACTGTCTCTTAAACCTGTCAGTGTGTCAGGCTGCTTTAAAGCAAACTCTCTCACACGCACACAAAAAGAATAAGAAAAGAAAAGAAAGAAACCCACGAGCTGCTGGTACCGCTCTTGTTCCTGACAAGCGTGGGAGTTTTCTCGTATCCAAGATACAGGGACAAAGAACCCCCAGCATTTTATTTTCCTTAAGACCCTCCTCCTGGAAGAAAAGAAGCAGTTTGGCTCATTCTTAAGCAAGTTTAGATGCCTCAGCCCGAGCGGTTTCCCATGGCACTTGCTGGGTGAATTGGTGGAGATGGAAAAATGTCAAGTATGGGGAGGGAATTCCTGGAGCTCTGCTCCAAGGGGGTGAGGGCAGGAGAGCCTGGCTGCTTCCAGCAAGTGCCTCCTGGAGCCTGATTTTTTTGATGATTTTTGCAGACCTTGTCTTGGGACGGTCGCAKCATTTACACTTGAGTACGGCCAAGTGACCTGCAGTCTTCGCTGCTGCTCGTAGTGGGTTCTGTTAACACAAAACCCTGGAGTGATCAGGCCAGGCTCATCAATAAATGATGATGATGTGAACTTCCTTTGTTCTTCCTATGTCTCTGCTCTTCTCCATTTGATACTTTGAACTCTTCATCTTCTTCCCTGTATGTTGCCGAGTGCCGAGTTTACTATGGGTGCATAGTAAAGTCCCAGGGATGACATCCCAGTTCCTCAATGGTCAGTGAATGTTTTGACTCTGACCCCAAAAATAGGATGAAGATTTGGGCTGTGGGACTTCCAATTCTGCAGCACACCCCATGCTTCTTTACCAGAAATTCTATATTCTGATATCTGCTTTTTGGGTCTTTGCTGGGGCTTTTTACGTAGGATGAATGGCAAAACAAAAGAGCACTCTTCCCTTCCTCCACCCTCCAAAAACCAAAACGGAGAATTAAAACTCCCTGGTGCTTGGAGATGGTTTTGTTATTAGGTGCAAACAGTGAGTGCATGGGGCAGTGTTTGCAAACTGCACTGGGAGGGTTTGCCTGGAGAAAAGGCAGGAACCAAACGCACGAGTCCTTGCTGTATCTGCTCCCAAAGAAAAAGTTGGTGCCTGGTGAGAGCGCAGAATGGGGCAGAGGAAAAGYGTAACTCAGTAAAAGAAAAAGGCCTGGACTCTGCAGGGAGCCTCCTTGGAGGGTTAAGAACTGTAATGTATACAAATTAGGGTTGGAAAAGGCTTCCCAAAGGCAAGATTTGAGAACCTTTGCTGTATGGCAGAGTGTCCCACCAGCAGGACCTCGGGCTGGGCGGACCGTGGTGAGAAACCACAGAGAGGGGCTGGGTCTCAGGGAGGGAAAGAGCTTAAATATCGGCCCCCTGCTCCCTAGCTCCCAGTGAGCTGCCCCATGGGGAGGATTTCCCGCAGGAGGAACGGGCTGTGCAGCAAAGGCACCGAGCAGAGCATGGAAAAAAAACCCTCCCTCCCCCTGCCCTGCCCCAATAAATCAAATAACTGCAGTTTCTTTACATTCTGTGCAGGGATTGAGAGCTCGGATGCCAAGCAAAGCCTGCAGACAATTTTACAGATACATTATAAATCCCCTTAGAATAAGGGGTTCTAATGGAAAAAGTGACTAATGCTGCAAATGAGCACGGAAGAAGGCGCCCYGGGATGGGGCTGCATATTGAGACTAACCCCAAGTAACTATATACCTTTATTTATTTATTTTCTCGTGCTCTCCTTCTCCCTCCCTTCTCGCCAATGCTTTTTTAATCTCTTGCAGAAGTGGGTGACCAGTTCTGGAAACTATTTGAAACCGGCATGGATTCTTCCCTAATAACTCCTTTCTGTACCTATGTGGCCGTGTCAGTCTGGTCCGGACGCAGTGACAAACAGCATAGCGGGGCGCAGGGCAGGGGGGGACCTGGCAAAAAGGCAGTGGGAAATGCCCAGCTTGTTGGAGAAGACCAAATCTGGGCAAAAAAGCACGAGTGAAAATAGRTATATTTGATGCAATAAGTGTCTGCTTCTTCTCTCCTAAGCTGGTGGGGATAATCTGGCTCCGGTGCTGGCTTTGGGTGCTGATGTTGGGCCCCGCATTGATGCCCTTTGCATTCGCGTGTGGAGCCTGGCTTTGTGCCTGGCTCCCTCTTCAAAGCCTGGATTCCTTGGGGGATTCCAAGCCGAGCTGCAGGCCRGGCTTTCCCGGGGGCATGGACAGCRTCTGGCGCCCTGCAGGCTCCCCGCTTCCTTATCTGCTACGTCTCGTGGCCAAACCCTGCTCCGTGGGTCTGCACGGAGGGTAGCGAAGCCTCTTCCTAGGCAGGAAGGGAGGCTGCAGGGTTGCGGCTCCTGCGGGAACAGCTTTCCCTTCCCCATCGCAGGCACCTTCTGCACGGGAGGCTGCGCGGGGGAGGCCCATCCGCGTCTCATCCCTGCTCTGCAGCTGTCCCGGGAGCYGGCGCGGTTGGACGCGTCTCCCGGGGGAGTTTGGAGCCGGCCCCGCTGCGCACGGAGYGCGGAAGGGAGCGCAGGTGCCGGGATGCATCCCGCTCGTCCTGCCCGTCCCAGCGCCCCGCGGCTACCCCGTTGCCCCCATCTGCTTCGCTTCACGTTCTGGGCTTGAATTATCATCCCCGCRGGGATGGGAATGTTTTCCACGCATCTGCTCGGCACGGAGCACCACAAGGGCTCCAACCCTTCTGCATCCATGCCCAGCGCTCCGATCCCGGTGGCAATGTCAGCCTGGGGACCGCCGCTGTCTGCGTGGTGCCTGCTCCGCACCAAGGAGGGGGAAAGCGGTGCCAGCAACAGCCCGTCAGCATTTTCCACTGAAACCGACTTGCAGTAGAAACCTGGGAATGTGCCTAAATGGATATTTTCAGGAGAAGTATCTGCTTTCCATAGACAATTYGGAGTTTTTCTCCAAAGTTTTGGCCAGAATATTTTGGCGAAAAATCAAAAATGCGCTGGCAAGTGGTTGCTGTGTGAGCAAACATTTTTAATTTTGGAGTTGCAGGGTTTTTCTTACAAAAAAAAAGTTGAGCTTTTGCATGAGGAAATCTTTCTTTTTAYTTATTTACTTTCCTGAGCAGCTGGTGTCAGTAATGCTGTAGCACAGGGGWTGACCTAGAGGTGTCTAACAGGAGTCCTCTTCTGAGATGGACTTGCAGGGTGGGTTAAATTGCAATTAAATGGCCCGTCAATTGGCCTCGCAGCAGCTCCAAGAAGTGCAGAAGCCTCTGAAACTGGTGTGTGCAGAGGGTGAAGTTGGCCAGGCCATGTCCTGGCCACCGCTCCGCTCTCCTCCCGCCCTGATTCCCACCTTTTCCTGCTGCACGGGCTCCCACGAGCGACAGGAGCCGCTCAACACAAAGGAACTGGCTGGAATTGGGAGCACCAGGCTGAGAGTTTGGGYTTTGGCCAACTAGACCCAAAGTTGCCTCTTCCCCAAGTCCTGGCTCCTCTTTTCCACGGATGCAGCCCAGCTGCCCGACTGCTCTCTGCTCCGCACGGGAATGGGGACATTCCCGGCGCCAGGACGTTCCCGGCGCGGGGCTGACCTTGCTCCATTGTGCGCTAAGAATATACGGAAACCGAGCGCGCTTTGGCCCGGGTGCAAGGTGGA